GGGTGTAGGAGGCAGGGTGATCAGTGATTCAATGAGGAGGCCTGAATAGGGGTGGTGTAGGGCCTGGGATGAAGACAGAAGTAGCACAGCTAATGGAGAAGTATGAACGGGATTGGCATCGAGGGTAAATGAAATGGCTACGGGTGATGGGGGCAGCAGGCAGCGAACAGAGAGATCTAAAAAGTAGGAAATCCCAGGGTTGCGTAGGTAGGTAGTGCATGGAAGCTAGAAACAGAGAGCAGCCAATGGGGAGCTGCGCCTTGGTGGCGTAGAGGAGGTAATGGCTGCAGCGAGCCAATGGGGAGTCTTGAGAGCGTGCACGAAACCTTTAAGGGGCGGTGCCAGGGCGGAACTAGCCCACTTGGCGGCTAGATGGAGCCCGAGAGGCGGTATGTGTGTGCTTCGGAGGCGGGACTGGAGGGACTGAGCCAATGAGGCTGGGCAATGAAGGCGGGAGCAAGGAAGAGAAATGGCAAATAGCCAATGGTAGAGCAGAGCTAAGTGGAGCCCTCAAAGGGACATGGAGAGGAGACATGAAAGAGCAGAGCCAACTGGGGCGTTATAGGTGGTGTGAAGGAGGGGATAAAAAGCCAATAAGGAAACCAGAGGAGAGGACTGTGCGTAAGCAGTCTGGGCGGTAAAGTAACAAAATTACATTCGCCTCTGGTTAATGGATTTACCTGCTCCCTAATCCTCCATGACTCCCCATTGCCCCCCAGCTGTGAGTCCCAGAGCCCCTGAAGACGTAGACAGCACCGTGTTGTAAGATCTAAGAAAGCAAAGTGGATCTCCTAAGTTACTGGATCTCCTCTGCCCACCTCCTAGCCTTTGCTTGAGTGCCACTAGCTAAGAATGCCCTTGTTTGTCATCCTCAGCATTCTCCAGGACTTGGTGCCATTGCTGAATGAATGGTCAAATGAGAAATTGAACTTTTTTGGAAAATTAGCTATTTCTAACCATCTCATCAAAACACTGAGCCTGACTATGCCGCCAAAAGTTAATTGGGCATGTTGACAGACACAGGCTAACATAATCACAAATCCAAGCCGTGTCTTTATTGCCCAACTCAGCCCTCTACACTCCACAGTGGCTTCATCTCCTTTCTGTTTCCATCTCTTCTACTGTTCTCTCTCCCAAGAGCACTACTCCTGCTTCCTCCATCTAGTCAACTCTTTTCACTCTCTTTGAGGTATCACCTGTGGGAACCGAATTGTAGCTTTTGTCCACTGAACATGTCCATTCATACATTTCCCCTCTATCCTGGGAGGATTTACTGAACACCTACTGTATGCAAGGTTTTGACTCACAGCATTCCTAGGAGGAAGGCGGTACCCCCAGCAGCCAACTCCCTACCACCTCATAGTGTCCAGGGGTTGTGGGTCAGGAAGGAATATGTTCAGCTGCAAGTAACAAAAAAATCATGAAATAATGGGAGCTTAAATGAGATAAAACTTTTTTTTTTAACTCTCACCAGAGGATATTTTTCCATTGATCTTCAGATAGAGTGGGAGGAAGGGGGGGGCATCGAAGTGAGAGAGACACATCAATTGGTTGCCTCCCGCACTACCCCAACCAGGGCCAGGGGCCAGGGATCGAACCGTAACGGAGGTACATGCCTTTAACCAGAATCGAACCCTCAACTCTTTGGTCTGCAGGCCAATACTCTAACTGCTGAGCCAGACCAGCCCGAGGAAAAACTTTATTTTTTATCATCTAAAAGTTCAAGCTGAGCCCTGGCCGGTTTGGCTCAGCGGTTAGAGCGTCCGCCTGCGGTCCGGAGAGACCCGGGTTCGGTTCCCGCTAAGGGCATGCACCTCGGTTGCAGTTTGTCCCCGGCCCTGGTTGGTCGTGCGGGTGGCAGCCACTCGATGTGTCCCTTTCATATCCATGTTTCCCTCTCTCTCTCTTCCTCTCTCTCCCTCCCACTCTATCTGTACAAAAAATGAAAAAATGTCCTCGGTTGAGGATAAAAAGAAAAATAAATAAATAAATAAAAGTTCAAGCTGATAAGTAGTCCAGGGATTCCTTCCTGCCTAGCCAGTTAGGGCATTGTCTGTGTCCAAGTCAGCCCCCCAGACTCTCATTCTTCAACAGATCCTATCAGCTCTCCATTTACAATATTTCCCAAAGCCACCCTTTCCTCACCCACTCCACTGCCGACACTGTCATCAGTCACCTGAACTATTGCAGTAGCCTCCCTCTCACTGATCCCCCTGCCTCTACCCTCCTACCATCAGTTCTACACTCAGCAATCAGTGGGATCCTGTTAAATCACAAGATGTTTCATCTGCTCCCAATTCTCCTGTGGCCTCCTCCTACAAGGTCCTGCATTGGCTAACCAACCCCTTTGTCCCCTCTCTGACCTCACCTCCTACCCCTCTTCTGCTCTCTCACATGATCTAACCATACCAACCTCCTTAGTAGACTTTGAGCAACTCAGGCACACTCCTACCTCAGGGCCTTTGCGCTGGCAGTTATCTGTAATTACTCAGATGTCTACAAGTCTTTGTCAAAGATGCCCTTCTCGGGGGATTTTCACCCACCTCTTTGTTTAATCCTGCCCACTCTCTCCCAGAAGCCTTCGTGCAAGAGGATATAGTTCAGTACATAGAAGAGGTGGTGAACTCTGCCCTTCTCTGCCTACCTGACCCGCAGCTCTCACTCTGCAAGGGTCCTGGCTTGCAGCAGCCACAGCAGCATCGTACTTTCCATACCCTGAGCCCCACTCAAGTAGCCTCCAGGGACTCTTTGGGCTACCACTCTCACTCTGTTTTCCTCCTATTTCTCTGGTTACTCCTCTGACAGTAAGGGAGAGATGGTCTGGGAGGACATAAAGGGGGTTCAGCCCATACCTCAAACCCTGAGAGAGAAAACCAGCCTTTTCTCTCAGGGGGGGCAAACCTGGGGCAGGGAATGAGACCTCAGCTTCTAGCACTGGCCTGGTTAATAGTTACACAGCAGGTGTAAGAAATGTTCAGGCCCAAGTCCAGTGGGAGCAGGGGGTCATTAACCTTGGGGATATCTCTAAAGTCAGCTTCCAGGACTCATTCTTGACAAGTACACTAATCTACCCTCTCTCTTGCTCCCAACCATATGCCACATCTGTTAAGCCCCTGCTGTACTTAGGGTCCCTGCAGATCTCAACCTGAGGACCTCAACCAACTTCAGTGCATCCCCTGGCACACAGGCCATCTTTGGGTCTCAGATGTGTCCCACCAACTCAGAAGCCTCAACCAGTGACAGTTTTGTTCTGAACTAATGGTAGGGAGGGTTGGGTGTTTTGGTTTTTTTTATTATTGTCATTGTTGGCTGATTTTTTTAGGTCTTTTTTTTTTTCACTTTTTTTTTTCTTATCTTCACAAAGCCAAGCCATCAGGCTCCATCTGGGCTTTTCCAGAAAGGTGAATCTGAGTTGAGGAAAGATGCTCACTTTTTTTTTTGAGAGATTGAGAGGTGAAGGGAGGAAAAGAGGCATAGGGGTGAAGGGGTGGGTCTTGCCACTAGGTTTGTACCATGTGAATAAACAGCTGTTTCCAATTTCTCTTCCCCAGGCCTGAACCCAGTCTTGCGGATGGGTTGGAGTGAACGTTGGATGACAGAATCCCAGACCATGCAGGACACTGGGAACTTGGGGACTGGAAGTCAGCCTGTCAGGAGAAGCCCCTGGGTGCTGATCTCCCCTGTTGAACACTGGTTGGAGGGGATGCTCGCTGAGAGGTGAGGAGATGTGGCCACCAATTCTTGGACAACCTTAAAACCACACAATCTTCAAGCCCCCCAGAAGAATCTCAGAACCTCCCTGTCTTTGCATCCTAGAATTTAAAACCTGAGACTGTTGGGCTCAAGGAAACTTGGGGCTTTCAAAGCCCAGCACCAAGGAAGGCAGGGCCCCCACTCGCCAGCTCTGTGATCTGGGGCAAGTTTCTTAACTACTTCATGTCTCCATTTTTCTCCATCTGTATAACAGCCATGATAACACGATGGACCTCAGCGGGCTTTGGTGAGGATTGAATATGACCATTTCTGAGAAGTGTTCAGGACTGTGTCTGGCACATGAAGAATTCGAGATAAATGTCAGCTACGGGGACGTTGGCAGATATTTGGAATCCTAAAACCTTGGAAACTGGGATTTTTCTAAGAAGAAAATTGCTAAGTCTGAGGGCCTCAGAAGCATCAGGCTATGGTGTCCCTGACTATGGGAGGGTTGGGCTTCGTGGGGATGGATGCATTAATATTGGGTTACTGGTCAGAACCTTCTCTATAGGGTGGCCTCTTGGTCAGAGCTCTCAGGCCCTAAGACATGATGAGATGAGACTTTTCTACCTGTCCTCACTCAGTGATGTTCAGTGGATTCTGGGAGCCAGTGATTCTTAGACTTTTTGATTCTGTGAATTATGGGGGATGGGGAGGACTCCCTGCTTTTTTCTCCATCTAGTAACTTCCATGCCCCTCACCCTCTGTGAAATGGCTTGCAAGGGTGTCCAGAGCTCCCCCTCCCTGGGCATCAAGAGTGGTGATGACCTTATCAATTCTACCTAAGGGGAAACTGAGGCCTGGAGCAGGGCAAAGCCTCTGGAAACTCAGCCCTATTCCATTTCTTTCCCTGGTGTTTTCTATCCACACATAGGGCTTCAGTGCCTCTCTTTCTTCTCCCAGAGACCCTCAAATATCCTCTCACTCAGAGTAGTATCTCTGCATGCCTGGGACACCCCTGTGATTTATTTAAGCTTTTTTCCTTTGTTTTTTTTTTCCCTAACTCTACACACTTTTGTTTAAAAAACTGTGGTTTCTCATGAGTCCTGTTATCTCATTGATACCTCTCACCTCTGTGGTGAGGGGAAGAAATCATATTTTCAGATGACTCGTAAAGGGCAAAGAAAAAAACCAAAATTTCAAAATTTCCGTTTAAGTCTCATAATCAAGAAGAGGAGAAACAGAGCAAGAGAGAGAGAGAGAGAGAACTATGAGAACCCCCCCCCCCACCTCGTGATTATCAGCGTACACAGTCATCGAAAAAAATTGGATTATTAGAAGAGAGAGGTCTGTGGCTTCCACACCGTGGGTTTTCTTCTCGGTATAAAAGCAAAGTTGTTTTTGATATATGACAGTTTCCCACAAGCCAGTCTGATCCTTTTCTGTCAGTCCACTTCACCAAGGTGAGTGTCCCCGCTCCTCTCACCAGATGCGGGTCCAGTGGCAGAGATGGCAATGAGGTAGGCACTGGAGGGCCAGGGGTCCTCCAGTATAGTCCAAATGCATGCAGCTACTGTGGTCCTGGTCAGGTAAGGTATTTTTTACAATAATAATAGTAATAATAAATGCCAGAAGACTCATAGGTAAAGTACTTAATCAATGCTTGGGTGGAGGCAAAGGTAACTAAATTGATATGTAAACGGGTAGGATTTTTTAAATATGTCAACTGCCAATCTGTATGAATTTCAGAGCTTTAAACACTGTCCAGGTATAACTGGAAATTTCAACTACATCTCTCACCTCTCTTTGTTTCTTCTTTCTCACTATCTCTCATCCCTCTGTCTCTGTTCACCTTGTCTCACTCATTCCGTGTTTCTCTGCCCCTCTCTTCATCTCTTTCCCTGGCACTCAAAATCTCCATCCTTCTATCTTTATCTGGTATGACCATTTTCCCTGTCTCTGTCCTCCATCTTGACCACACTCTGTCTTGTTTCCTTTCCTCAGTCTTTCTCCCACCATCTCACCTGCTCTCTTATCTTGCCTCCCCTTCCCTGCCTTCCCACCCACCATACAGCACAGAGCTTTACACACAGTTGGTGCTCAATAATAGTGTGTTGAATAATGCTGATGAGGACATTTACATTCTATAAGAATGAGTATCAATTCTGTTTGTTCAGATTCAACGGAGGACTATGAGCTATCGGGTCAGGCTGAGGACTTTAAAAGGAGACCTTCCTGAGGGGCACCTCATGCCATTGTCAACCATGGTTTAACTGTGTGGTCCTACTCCCAGTACTGTGTGTGTGTGTGTGTTGTGTGTGTGTCCATGTCCAGGAACAGAACAGGCTGTCCAAGGCTGGGGTGAGCTCATCTCTGCAGGTTTAGCAAGTGCTCACTAAGTGTCAGCAGTTAATTGTGTGATGTTTTTGTTGTTTTTTTTAACTAAATTAGAATCATGCTATCTATTGGCTTTGTTCCTGCTTTATTCAATTAATAGGAGCATTTTTGTAGATCACTAAAAATTGTTTCAATGTATAATTTTTCATGGCTGTCAAAACTGACCTCACATTGGCATGAACCATGATTGGTTCAACCAAATACCCATCACTGGACATTTGGGTTGTTTCTGGTATTTTCCCATAATCAACCCTGATTAGTTCTTTGGATTCCTGAAAATGGAGTTACTGGGGCAACAGGTGTGTGCATTTTTAAGGCTTCTGACCCTCTCTGCAAACTGTTCTTCCAAAAGGTTGCCCTATGCTCCTTCTACTCAAGCTAACCCTGGGTGGGTATTATCATTTTTTAATCCTTTCTCAACATAACAGGTAAGAAAAAAATATTACCACATTGTTGAAATTTACATTTTTTAATTACTTCTACTGTTTGTTGACCATTTGTGCTTTTATGGGGGTCTGGTGTCCTTAGTCCTAATAGGATGTTCATCTTTTTTTATTGATTTATCACAGCTCTTTATTTAGAAAGGATATTAACTTTCTATCACCATATATATACAGTGATATTTGCTTTTCCTATTTGCTTTTGGTGTTTTGTGACACTTGTGATGTTTTTATATAGTCAAATAGATTAGTCTTTTCTCCTGTGGTTACTGTCTCTGGTTTTGTGCTTAGAAAGTCCTTTCCCACTTGAAAATGATATAAATGTTCACATGTGCTGGAGCCAGACAGTCTGTGACAAACTCAGCCTCAGCCATATGTGTGATTTTTTTAGCCAGGCATTTAAAACTCTCTATACCTCCATTTCCTCATACATACTTTGATAGTTATAATAGTACCTACCTCAAAGGTGGTTGTGAGGATTAAATCTATGAACTATGTTAAGTTCTTATCACAGGGCCTGGAATATAATAAACCCAAGATCCATATTAGATATTATTATTTATCTTTTTAATGGATCTGGAATTTTTTTAGGGTCCATAATGATGCTGACATTTCAAACTGGGCAGGGAAGTTAGTGGGAAAATGGACTGATCATCCATTCAATAATTTTATTTTCCCCTTAATGATTTCCAAAACATTTGTTAAACAATCTATCCTACACTGTCCTCCAGTTTGAAATGTCACATCGATCACAAACTTCATTCCCTCTAGCTGTGGGTCTGTGTTTGAGCTTTCTATTCTGTTCTGTTCCTCAGTGTCTGCTCTTGTACCAGAGCCACACTGCTTTGCTATTTGTTGGTGCAGACCCCATCTTGTTATTCCTCATCATTTCAGGAAGCATCAGTTCCTCCAGCCAGAGGCCAGCAATTGTTTTTACTTGGGTCAGATCTCTCTCCATATATATATATCCTTCCTATGGGTTACACACAAACACTCTCTCTGTCTCTCCTTCTCTCAGTGTCTCTCACTGTCTGTCTCGTTCTCTTTGTCTTTCACTCTATCTCTGTCCCACCTCACGTCTCTCTCATTTCTTTCTGTGTCTCTCTCTTCCCCTGTCTGTCTCTTTGTTTCCTTCTTTCTTTGTCTTTATGTGTCCCAGTCTCTCAGTCCCCTGGATTGAGGAACAGTTATCGACTTGAAGCTATCTAACACCTCACCCTGAAACAGAGTGGAAGGGCCCTGGCCCTCACCTACTCCACACCTCTCCCCTTCCCAGTGTACAAGAGAAGCACATTGAAGCCCAGAGATGGGTGGGAGGGCCTCTCCCAAATCCTCACAGAGAGGCAGTGGCAGAGTTGAGACCCAAGTTCAGATCTTAGGACTCTCAGTGGGACCATGGCTCTGTCTCTCTCCCCCATTATGGACTTCAATTTATCTCTCAGCACCTATGAGGGTGGCAAGGGGACCTGGGCTGTCCCCCAGCTGCTGCCATTCCTCATTCTGCCTTCTCACAGAGGGGACCCTCACTAAGGCAGGAGAGTCCATGGTCACAGTGTGGGGCTCAGCCTCCCAAGAGCTAGGCTGGGTGGGGTCCCATGGCCCATGGGTCAGGAGGCCTCATAGGCAGAGGGTGGTGTTACTGGGATGATAGCAGTCATTGGGTCTGGCTAGGGACAGAGCTCAGCCATGTCCCCAGAGTTGGCACTGGTTTCTGGGAACCTCCATCCCAGGGCCTTTCCAGAGAGTCTTATGGTGGATCTATACTGGCAAAGGCCAGGGCTTTTCCTGCTCCCCACCATGAGGCCCTCACCAAAAGTGCGTCAGCCTCAACCTCCCCTGTCTTCCTTCCCCATCTCTGGCAGAGTGGCTATGAATCTGGGAACATTGTCCCAGAATGGACAGGAGACCAATGCCCTACAGTGGCCATTCACAAGTCACTGACATTTTGCTAAGCATTTTGTACATTAACTTTAGAAGATAGGTACTGTTATTGTCCCAATTCACATGAGCCTGAGGAGAGTTGTAGCAAGTTAATGGCAGAGACTTGTCCCAGGCTGAGGGAAGTAAAGAGGTAATGCTGACACCCCCCCCCCCCCGCCTTCATAGAACTTAGGAGGAAGGCTAAGGGGAAGTTTATTGCAATTCTAGGCCTGGTAGACGGGAGGTGGGATCAAGTAGTAAGCTCTCTATTTTGGGGGGAGTTCCAGTAAATTTGGACCAGGGACATTTGCTTTCACATACTGAGAAGTTGGACCCACGGACTCCAGAGAGTCTGTGGGTTTCAGATTCTGGGAGTCTTTGAATCTAACTAATGATGTTCTGTGACTCTAAGGTTCTGGCATAGTATCATTTGAAGACCCCAAGGGTCCCAGTATCTGTGAGATCAGCATGGCATCAAATCTTGGGCCTGTTCTTACCTGAGAAGGGCCAGGTCTACAGGCCCCAGGGCTTGTCATGGTAGCCAGATGGACGTCACTCACCACATCCGCCAGCACCCACATTGCCCCACCTAAGCCAAGTCGGCTGCAGGATGGGCCAGCCAATTCTCGGAACGAAACCTGTGGGGTGAGGTGCCTGCCCCTTTGTCTTCCTCCTTTGTGCCGATGAAGCCCAGCGCATCCGGCCGCCATGACGTCAATGGCGGAAAAATCTGGGGAAGTCGGAGGCTCTGACAACAGGGCCCAGATGCAGACCCCGATATGAAAACACAGTCTATGTCCCAGAAACATCCTCCATGTATCTTCTGAGAAATAGTCAGAAAGGGACGCCCCAACAGACAGTGCAGGAAGCTGGCTGCCCAGCCCGGCCCTCCAGCACCCATCTCTGCTTCCCTGAGTCAGGCCATTCCAGATGTGTTTTGGGAAGAGATTTCTTATAAGCTCTGGCCAAATGTCCAGGCAGCTTTAGAAGTGACCACAGGCCAGCTGTGTGGACCGAGCCAGAAAACAGAAAACATCCACTCACCAAAATTGGTACTAGTTTGCTCCGGCTTCTGTAACAAAGTACCACAAACTGGGCGACTTAAACAACAGAAATTTATGGTCTCAGTCCTGGAGGCCTGAAGTTCTAGATCAAGGTGATGACAGGGTTGGCTCCTTCTAGAGCTGTGAGGGAGAAAGTGTTCATGCCTTCCTCCTAACTTCTCATGGTTTGCTGGCCATTTTGGGCACTCCTTGGCTTATAGAAGCATCACCCTGATCTCCACCTTCATTCATTCACTCATTCCTTCACTCATCTCCTCGTAGTCACAGACATTCTCTCAGGCCCTTGTCCTGAGCCTCCATAGATGCAGGCTCCTGTTTCTCACACAGTAATGTTCTAACCCCCAGGGGAGACTAAGGGTTGAATATCTGGATTTTTACCCCCACTCTTCTTAGCACCACAGTTCTGATAACCCCCATGGACTAACAGCAAAGAAAGGAACAAGTGCTCCCCCAGAACCCTCCTTATACTCCCTCAGGCTGTTGTCAGCAGCTCTATGCCCAACCCTGTGCCGTGGGGTGGGGTGGGGAGACACACACACACAGCCCCATGGCAGGGGGCCTGTGAAATGTGCGCACACACGCTTTCTGGAGAAAGAAGCGGAGCTCTCAAGTCGCCATGGGGCTATGGAATGCTGCACCTGGGTGTCCCCTTTGGTAAAATAGATGTTGGACTAGGCAGTCCCTTCCAGCTCTGACTTCCTCTCAGTCTGGGACTGCAGGATTCTGAGAAACCAAGGCCCCACCTCTTGGGGAGTATAGGATTCTGGAGCCACTATGAAGGGCTTTCTGGATTGGTCTTGGAGAGGGGAAGAGGAGGAAGAGCGGGCATTCCAGGCAAGCCAAATAGCATGTGCAAAGGCTTCGAGGCAGGCTGGCAGTAAATTTCGGTGGAGGCTGAATCGAAGAACCTCCCACAGGCCTCAGCCCAAGAGAGCCGGTCTGTCCTCTCTGGCACCTGCTATGCCAGTTCTGAGCAGGGAAGAGCCCAGAAATGACCAGACCCGGCCCCTGTCTGAGCTCCAGACTACTTACTTGTATATTTTCACTCATATATTTCCACTCATATATCTAATGCCAAACTTTTCATATCCATCCAACCTGAATCATCACACACACACACCGCCAGCTTTTCTCATCTCCCTCAGCTCAGGTCACATCAGCTCTGTCCCTCCAGCTGCTCAGGCTAATACAAAGAAGTCACCTCGACTCTCCCTCTCTCACCTCCAGATCCAAGCCACCAGAAAATTCTCCTGACTCCACCTTCCAAACATGCTTAGAATCTACCCACTTCTCACCATCTCCTCTGCCACCGTCCTTATCTGTGCTACCATCACAGGTAGCATCCTCACTACTGGTCCCTGCTTCTGCCCTTGCCTTCCTAGAATCTGTCCCTCTCACAGAGGGATCTTTTGAGTCCATGCCCCCTGCCACTCCCAGATATGCCCAAGTCACTGGGGTAAAATAATGCTCCCAGGGGAAAATCAGAGACCAGCCCCAGTGGGATCAGCAAAGGTTGTGTGGCCTATGCCAGGTGCAGGAAGGACCAGAGAGCTGAGGCCTAAAGACAAGCCTCAAGTTGTGGAGAAAGGAGTTGAGACCTACCTTGCCTGAAGCCCCTCAAATCACTCTGAACTCCCAACTGTCCTCTGGAGGACACATCCCCACTAGGGTTGTGCTAGCATGCACAGGCAAGCCATGTGCTGACCCGTGCAAGTCTTCACATGGGGCATGTGTGCAGACACACATACCTATGTTCCTGACACCAATGTGTGTGTGCACTCATGCATGTGTACATGCACATATGACTAGAGCTGGGGTCTAGTTGTGGGGTCCTTTGAGACATGTCCCAGCCCATGCCTGCTCTGACCAGAGAGGGTGTCCCCCCTCTCTGGTGGTTGAGTATTTTGCATACATCCCAGCACATGTATAACTCCTTTCCCCTATGTCTCCACAGTCTGACCTCGGACAAGGACCCAATGCCCAACCCCAGGCCAGTCAAGCCCTTGGTCCCTGCCTTGGTGCTCAGTCCATCCCCAGGAGCCTCGCCCAGCTGGAGGGCTGCACCCAAGGCCTCAGACCTTCTAGGGACCAAGGGCCCAGCAGCAACCTTCCAGGGCCGGGACCTTCGAGCCGGGGCCCATGCCTCCTCCTCCTGCTTGAACCCCATGCCACCATCACAGCTGCAGGTGAGGCCCAGGGCCCAGGATGGAGCAAGCAGGGTGGAGTACCTGGGTCTACAGGTGCCGACCTTTACTGTGGCACCAGGCGGGGGGCCCGACTAGGGCACAGGAAGTGGTTTTCTGGGTCCCAGGCAAGTCTGTGACTTATGCAGATGTCACAGGGCCAAGAAAGTCCCCACTTAGCAGGTCTCAGAGATTTGAGGCTCTCCCCAAACTCCAATACCTGTCTCAGGAGAGGAGACCCTATCATCGTCCCACAGGCATGGCCATGTGTCCCCATCCCCATGTGACAGAGGAGAGGACGGGCTCAAGGAGGTGAGAGGACAGAGTTGAGGCCAGTTCTGCCCCTTTATTAGCTGACTGATCTTGAAAAAGTCATTCAATCTCTCTGAGCCTGTTTCTACATATGTATAAAGGGAATAGTCATGATACCTACCATGTGGGGTTGTGATGAGAAGCATATAAATTCAACATGTACAACAGAGAGGATGAGGATGGCATCTCTTCTGTCTGCCTTCTCCCCCCAGATTCCCACAGTGCCCCTTGTCATGGTGGCACCCTCTGGAGCACGGCTGGGTCCCTCACCCCACTTGCAGGCACTCCTCCAGGATAGGCCACACTTCATGCACCAGGTATCGACCCTGATCGGGCAGGGAGGGAGCAGAGGGGGGAATTAGGGAGGGGACTAGGCTGAACCACAGCTCATATGTGCTCCCAGCTCTCAACAGTGGATGCCCGTGCCCAGACCCCCGTGCTGCAGGTGCGCCCACTGGACAGTCCAGCTATGATCAGCCTCCCGCCACCCACCGCTGCCACTGGGGTCTTCTCTCTCAAGGCCCGGCCCGGCCTACCACCTGGTAATACCACACCCCACAGTTCCACAGAATCCCCTCAAATCCTTGAATGTGGGCAGTGTAGACTGCTGAATCGTGGCCCTCGGGTGTTAGGTTTTATCATCTTGGAAACTCCAACCTCCAAAAAATGTCAGGCTCAGAACCTGAAAGATGCAGAACATCAAAATCACGGAACCAGATCTTTGCAGAGTTAGTCAAAATGTCAGCACTTGCAAATGGCAGGTTTTGAGCAGCTCTACCAGAAGCCTTGGATGTTAGGGACCCCAGAAGCTCAGGAGGGTTGGAAGCTAAAAAGAGGAGGCCTTGTAAGCCAAGCTCCAGAGCCCAGCCTGTAGTCTCCAGAGGTACCCTGTTCCCATCCACAGGGATCAACGTGGCCAGCCTGGAGTGGGTATCCAGGGAACCAGCATTGTTCTGCACCTTCCCAAGCCCCTGTGCACCCAGGAAAGACAGGTCAGTGAGCAAGGCTTGGAAGGACCCTTGCCTTGCCATTCCCTCCCCTGACACCCTCTGTCCCCCCAGCACCCTTTCGACCGTGCCCCAGGGCTCCTACTCACTGCTGGCAAATGGCGTCTGCAAGTGGCCCGGATGTGAGAAGGTCTTCGAGGAGCCAGAGGATTTCCTCAAGTTAGTGGCCTAGGCCTATTCCAGTCTAGGGGGGTCCCTAGTTTGTGGGAGGAGGTCTGGGGTACAGGTCTCAACTCAGGCCTCACCCTGATAGGTGGTAAGATAAAAGAGGCCAAAGCTGAGACTGAGAAGTCAAATCTAGGCTCAGTTACTCACTGGCTGAAAGACCTTGAGCAAGTTACTTAGCCTCTCTGGGCCCTGGTTTTCTCATCTATATATGGGGCATAATAGTGTGTACTATTATTTACCTCCATTTTACAGATAAACAGGCCAAAAAGGTTAAGTGTCTTGATCAAGATCACCCACTTCCTAAGGGACAGAGCTGAGATTTGAACCCAGGCAGCCAGGCTCCGGAATCCACATGTCTAACTGCTTTGCACTGCTACCCCTCATGCCAACACTCCAGCCTGATTTTATTGATCCCCAAAGTCCCAGCTCCTCAAAATGGTTGTTGCTGCCTCTCAGCCTCATCACACACAGATACAACACACACACACACACACACACACACACACACACACACCCCTTCTCCATCCCTACCCAACTATCAGTAGCAACTCAATGCATCCTGTCCTCTACACCACCAGGCCTTCCCTCCACCTGGAATGCCTCTCCTGCTCTCACCTACCTGGCTGCTCCCAGCTTACCACCCTTCCAATATCATCTCCAACACCCTGACACCCTGGCCAGGCTCAGGTGGTGAGCTCAGGCCTGGCATAAAGGAGATGCCAAGTAGCATGTGTTGAAGGAATGATAGTGTGAGAGGGAGACTGAGGTAGAGGGGTGGAAGGCTGAGGCTCTGAGGAGAGACCTCCAGAGAGTCTGAGACCTCCTCATTCAGAACATTGAGCCAGGAGGCCAGGTCCACCATGGTCACCTGCAGGGAATCTTCACCCTCTCCAGGCACTGCCAAGCAGACCATCTCCTGGACGAGAAGGGCAGGGCGCAGTGTCTCCTCCAGAGGGAGGTGGTGCAATCTCTGGAGCAGCAGGTGATGTGGGTCAGGGAGTGATGGTGGGGTGGGGGGGGAGTGGACAAACCTTATATCCACCCTGTGCCAGGAGCCAAGCTCAGCCAGGATGGGGGCTCACATAAAGGAAGGAAGGGGGAAGGGCACTCCTAGAGAAGACCATAGCCTGGGCAAAATCATGGTGGGAAAAGGCCAGGCTGAGGCCTCACTTTGTGCTCGTCCTCACAGCTGGTGCTGGAGAAGGAGAAGCTGGGTGCTATGCAGGCCCACCTGGCTGGGAAAATGGCCCTGACTAAGGCTCCATCTATGGTAAGCTACCCCAGGCCTGATGGCAGCACAAGCTGCTGGGGGAAGGGGCCCTGCAGTGTCCAGGGGACCTATCCTTACACCCAGGCCCTGGGATCTGTGGACCCCTGTTCCCACATCCAAACATGAGAATCTATCTCCCTCCACTTAAACTCTCTAATCCTAAGCTCCCGAAACATAAGCTTGTCTTCAAAGCAACATCAAATAGCTAGACACTTACTGAATGCAGACCACGTGTCACTGGCCAGACTGGCTGTATAACTCGCAGGGCGCAGGGCAAAATGAAAATGCGGGGCTAGAATTTCAAGATAGCAACTACAGAGCATGAAACAAAGTGCAGGACCCTGTGTGGCTGCACAGGTCACATGCCCACGAGGCAGGCCCTGGGTGACAAGCACTGCTTCCGATCACTTTGCTGGTGCGAACTTATTCAGTCCTCATGATGCCACTGTAATGTAGGCATTGCTATCATCCCTAACCCACAGATGAGGGAAATTGAGGAGAGGCAGAGTTAAGTGACTTTCCCAAGGTTGGATCATAGAGGAGCCCAACTTGACCCCAGCTCGTGGCCCCAGCATTGGTGAGCTACACACACTAGTGTCCACACCACACTCTGAAAAATATGGCTCATGCTCTTTTACGGAAATACACATCAGACTGGAGTTGAGAAGAGGGCACCCTTGCTTTTAAATACGGTGGTGGTTGTTGTTGTTGTTGTTGTTGTTGTTGAATTTTAAAGAGGAAGGGAGAGGGAGAAACATCGATCAGTTGCCTGCTGTACGCACCCCAACAGGGGACTGAGCCTGTAACCTGGGCATGTGTCCTGACTGGGAATCAAACTGGTGACTTTTTGGTGCATGGGACGATGCCCAGCCAACTGAGCCACACCAGCCAGGGCAGGGCACCCTTGCTTTTAAAAACACTTACTTATTTAAAATTAAAGTGGAAAGTTTCAGCCTCTGAGTCACCAGCCTCTCCCTCACCCCACCCAGGTGTCATCTGACAAGGGTTCCTGCTGCATTGTAGCTGCTGGCACCCCGGACTCCACTGTTCCGGCCTGGCCTGGCCCCCAGGAGGGCCCCAATGGCCTGTTTGCTGTGCGAAGGCACCTCTGGGGCAGCCATGGACATAGCACATTCCCAGGTAAGGATGGTCTCTGCCCTACGTGGTGTCCCTAAACCCCTAATCCCCAGACTGGCATGCGATGGGGGAGGGGGTTCTACACCACTCTTCCCCACCAAAACCACCTGGCCTCTGGGAAAACACGTCTGCTTGCAAAAGCTTCCTCTCGGGGTTTCCATGGCCTGCAAGCTCCTATTATAGCCTCAGATGTCTAGCCCTGTCTCCCCTGGACATTGGGGCTTCATCTATTCCATTTGGACATCCGAGGGGAAAGGGCAGGGAACTATGTATGTAATTTCCAGGGACTCTCCCTGTCCCCTCCAAGGGAAAGTATGGTGACCTGCCCAAGTTCACCAATCCCCTACTATCCAAAAGGCCTGCGCTGTGGGTTTAACAGGGATCAGGGCCCTTGAGTATCATCCTGGTTCTGCTATTTAACCAGTTACATCCTTTTGGTGTGCATGTTACTTCTCTTCTTTTAAACCTCAGAGAGAATAAGCCCCATTTTGGTGGGAGTGGTACAAAGAGTTAAGTGATGAGTTATGTCAAATGCTCAGGAAACAGTAACTGTGATCATAGAAAGAGTGGAGGGTAGGAGAGGGAATGAGGAGGTTCAGATGGAGCCTGAATCCTCTCCCCTCTCCAACAGAGTTCTTTCACAACATGGACTACTTCAAGTTCCACAACATGCGGCCCCCGTTCACCTATGCCACCCTCATCCGCTGGGTAAGCAGGGCAGCTCAGGCCAAGGAGAAGGAAGAGAAAGAGGGAATGGGAACCTGCCTCCCAAACTCCTGCCCTCCCTTTGAGCACTCTCAGGGAGGGCTCCAGCATGAAGAAACCCATGCCTCAGATGTGATCCCCCATGCTGGCTTCACCTCAGACCTGCCCCCAAACCCAAACCATAACCATCATCCATGCCAGGGCAAACCAAATTCTGGCCCTAAACCCACTCCTTTCCTGAGGTCCACCTCAACTCCATAGCCCCACCTTCTGGACCTATAAAATCGCCCAAAAACTAACCTGACTTGCCCTGGCCAGTTTGGCTCAGCGGTTGGAGTGTCGGCCTACAGACCAGAGAGTCCCGGGTTTGCTTCCCACTAGGGGCACATACGAAAAAAAACAAACAAAAAAAACTAACCTGACTCTGCCCATTGCCCTCAACCCTTTCCAGGTATTACCCTAACTCCTTCTCTAGCCCTGATGTACCCAGTAGGTCAACACATCCCCCAGCTAAAGTTCATCCTTAACCTTTTCCTTGTAACACCTCTGACCCTTAACCTCACCCTATCCGAACCCCTGCATCAGAATCTCCCTAATACCTTCCCGGAACCCTCACCAGAGTCCACCCAGACCTTCATCCTAGGCCCACACCTAACACTAAACCTGAACCTTAACCTAACCTCTACACGATGCCATACAGTCCCCTACCTGACCCCATCCTGACCCCAAACCTCATTGCAGCTGTAATCACTGCCCCTTAACTTAATCCTATTCCTAAATCCAAAAGAATCTAATTTCCTGACCCTTAGCCTCACTCCACACCTAACCTCAGCCCTGCCCCTTAACAACTATACACAACTAACCTCAATTTCACAACCTCATTCTTGAACCTGAACCTAACCACTTCCCTGATCCATAAAATAACTAGATAACTAGGCCCATCTGACTCCTGACCTAGTCACACATCGCCCTGTCACATACCCCTTGAACAGTCCTAGTCCATCCCCAACCTGAATCTAATCAACCCCTTCCCTGACCTTTAGCTCTGCCTGGCCCTTTACCCCTTTGAAATCCCTAACTTGATCCCACTTCTGGCCCTTAATCTTCCCAAACCTTGAAACCTCACCCCCTACAGAGAACCCCCACTCCAACTCCATCCGACCTTTAACCTAACTCCAGCCCTAACTCTGAGCCGGACCCTGCTCCAACCTCAGCCGTGATCCTTTACCTAATCCCATCCCGGCCCACCCTCCCTCCACTTCTGATCCTGTCTCTGATCCATCACCCCACCATCGCCCTTTGTCCCTTCCCCTGCCCCCACAATTCTATCCCATGTCAGATGGTCCAGGGTAGGCCACTGCCCCTCTCAGCCCAACTTTGGAGGAGCAGCTCCCCTTACTCCCACACCCCCTAACTTCCAGGCCATTCTGGAGGCTCCTGAGAAGCAGCGGACACTCAATGAGATCTATCACTGGTTTACACGCATGTTCGCCTTCTTTAGAAACCACCCTGCCACCTGGAAGGTGAGCGCCTCTGGAGGTAGCAGGGTTGGGATGGCCTGGGGCTGGGCTTGCAAACATGATGGGAAGGAGCAGGAGGCTGGTTTTTGGTGGAGACTGCTGACCTCAAAGGATGGCTGCCCACCAGCTCCCTCCACCCCGGCCTGACTGGCTGGTCCTCCTTCCACAGAATGCCATCCGCCACAACCTGAGTCTGCACAAGTGCTTCGTGCGGGTGGAGAGCGAAAAGGGGGCTGTGTGGACCGTGGATGAGTTTGAGTTCCGCAAGAAGAGGAGCCAGAGGCCCAGCAGGTGTTCCAACCCCATACCCAGCCCCTGACCACAAAACCAAGGAAAGAAGGAAGCAAGGACAGGGGCCAAAATGGGGGGCAGAAGTGGCTGGGGGCAGGGGTCACAGGCCCCAGACATGCCCGCAGGGACCAAGAAGTATGTGCACTGTCTTGCCTGCCAAGGACCCTACTACCAAGCAATTACCCTGGATCATATGCTCTGCACCAAGGCTGCTCAGAGGGGCGCAGCCCTGCATCCCCACCCAGCCCCAAGACAGGCTCTCCAGGCAAACTGAGCCTTCACAATCAACCACACACACAGCCTGCCTCAGTCACTCACAGAAAACCTCAGGCTGGAAAAAACACATAGATGGTCACAATCCTGTCCCTTGGACTCCATACAAACCCCAAATACAAAAAGCCTGTCTCAGCACACTCGGACAACCTCAAATCTGCACAGTCACAGTCAGTCACACTCAAGTAGTCCTGTCAACCCACATACCCTGAAGCACACACCCACAGCCAGTCTCCAGGCCCCTAGGTGCAGAGTTACTGGAGTGTGCCCACACACCAACACAAAGCAGCCTTAGTGCCTTCAGGGTCTCAGGTCCTAGAAAGCCACACAGACACATACGAGTCACACACGATCTTACACAGCTCCTCCCACATACGCTTGGTCACACAGCCCATTAGAACTCACCTGCATACAATGCACACACACGCACACCCACACAATGCCCCAGTTGGTCTCCTGAATCCCATGTGGACACACATGACCACATATATTGACTCACCAAAATGTACCTGTGTCTCACCTGCCACCCACCCCCTGCCCCTCCCTGAGCCCTGTGCCCCCATCCATGCCTCAGCTTAGTCTGCAGACAGAGCCCCTCATTTATTTGGGATACAAGGCCCCAATCCCCAGTACTGTCCCCAATAAACTGTAGCCACACTGCCAGTCTCTGGATGTTCACTCCACATGAGGGTTGGAGTCAGATGGGCAGGAGTCGCCACAGCAAGAGGGACTAGATGGCAAAACACAGGGAACAGCTAGGGAAAGAGCTTGGCCATTGCTTCCAAACCCCTGCTGAAGCCTAGGGTCGGGGAGACCTCTGCTGGGGGCCCCTCAGGTCTCACGGACCCGCCCCAGGAGGCCAGCATTCTCCTGGCGAAGGGCCCGGTAGTCCTCTTGGATCTTCTCCAGATTGCTGAGGGTCTTCTTGCCCATCTCCGTCTCGATCTAGGCAACATGAATCACATCCCTTCAGCAAACAGGGCCTCTTTCCCAACTCCTGTTTGTCACCTCCTCCTTTATAGCCACTCAAGGCCCTTCTTGGGCTCCTCCCACCCTACCCCCAGCAATAGCCTGCTCTGTCCCACTACCAGGCCTTCGCATGTGTCATCCCTGCACCTAAAGCATCATTTGCTATGTGGCAGGATTACCCACCACATACTCAAGCTGAAGCTTCTGCCAACGATCCTGGGAGGGAGGCATGGGAACCCTGAGGGTGGAAGCTGGAACTCAGAGTAGGCCACTGGCCTGTCCCAGGTAAAGTACATGGCTAAGGGACACAGCAGAGACTCTAGCCATAAGCTGTGTCTGGTCCCATTGCCTGTCTTGGCACAAACTGAGGAACTGTCCCCTGGGCTGCCTTGGTTTCCCCTGCCACCTCCAGGCCTCACCTGCTCCTCAAGGTCTCGAACCTCCCTCATGATAGTGCCCGTGTCCTCAATGGTCTGGATGAGCTGGCTGCAGTTCTGGGGACAACAGGAAGAGAAGACTTGCACCCGAACCTGGCCCTTCCCCAGCCAGCCTGAGGCATGCTTCTCCCCTCACCTCATGTAAGGCAGCTAGATACTTGTAGGCCTTCCGAACAGCATCATCCTTCTTGGCATCCTGACCAGACAGAAAGAACCTCAAAGGTATCAAATAGCTTCCCCCACCCCACCCCCCCCCTACACACCACCTCCAGGACCCTACAAGGCCACCCTCTCCCACCCCCATGACTTCATCCTCCATGGAACAAAACCAGTCCCCATCATGAGACCCAGGCCTAAGTCAGCCCATGAGCAGATGGGCAGGCAGCCGCTCAGCCCCATGCCACCCCTCCACTTGACCCAGCCTGCCCCATACCTTGAACACAAGCTCATCAGTCACCGCAAACGTCCGGTCCAGCTTCCCAGACAGGGAATTGATTTCCTTCTGAAGCTCCTTTGTGTCAGACAAGATCTGGCAGAGATCAGGGCCATGAGCCTATGTCCAGGGTGGGGCGGCTGACCGGCTAAGGGCTTTCATGTGCATGCACTCACATCCAGACAGGGCCTATGTCACTGAGTCAGGGGTGGCTGGAGTGGACTGTGTGGGCCTGTTCTGGGTCATGGTGTTCCCAGATGGCTCTGCCTGTCAGAGGGTGTGAGGTCCTTGTGTACCCATGCTACATACATTTGCCCTTTGGGCATGTCTGCCCATATGACCCACCCTCCACGGCCATGGTAGCACACCTTAGTGATCTCTTCCTTCTGCTTCCGGATGTTGCCCACAATCTCCAGGATGCGCTGGGTATAGGCCAGCCGGGACACGTCTCTGGGCAGAGTCTCTAGTTCAGACACCTAGGCAGAGACACAGCAGATACTCCCCCAGGACCCACACCCCGCCCACTCTGAGCCACCCAGGGCCCCAGCATGGGCCTTACCAGCTGCTTATAGATCTCCTCCTTCCTGCGGGCCTCCTCAGCAGCTGCCCGAACACTCTGGTGCAGCTCCTGGATCTCTGCCAGCCGTCGAGAAGATTCCAGCTGCCAGGACCCCATGAGCAGAGCATGGGTATAGCCCCCGAGGAAGATACCAAACCTGCCCCACCCACGGCCCATGACCCTACCACCTACCTCTCTGCAATCCTGGAGCTTTCGGAGGTGGCGGTACTCAGCAAGGAGCGGGACCCGGTGCTTTTCCCACTGGCCCGCCAAATGGATGACCCGCTGGGCACTACTTTCTACCACAAGCTGGGAATGGTGGTAGGAGGATTTATGTCACACGCTGGGTCCTTCCACCTCTGACCCCCCTGGTCCAGCCCCAGCACCAGCCCCACCTGCAGCTTGGCGAGGTTGGCAGCCCCATCTGGCAGCAGCTCCACTGCCCGGCTCTTCAGGCGCAGGGCCTGCTCCCTCTCCGCCGTGCTGAGCTCAGTCTGCCGACACTCGGTTTCCACCTGGTAACCCAGAACCCTCAATCCTAGTCACTAGGGGAGCTCAAACACACACCACAGGCTCCCAGCCACACTAAGCCTGGAAAGCCCTGGCCTAGCCCAAGCCCCCACAGATGAAGCCCCTATCGATTCCTCAACCCCCTCCTGATAGTGACAGAGACCTATAAGCAATAACAAGCACCCACAGGCTCCCATGACTCCTCCACCTCCACACTGACCCCCAAAAGCCCTGACAAGCCCCACAAACTCCTGCCTGTACAAACCCATCATGCCCCACTGATGCCCAGAGATACCCACACACTCCCTGATTCTCACAGGCACTCACCAGGCCTGATTAAAGCTCACAGGCACCCTGATCCCTACCGGTCCACCAAGCTCTACAACCAAACATGCCCCTCTCATCCCCACTGATTCTCCTGAACCCTCGAGAGTCCCACACATCCCCAAAGGCTCCCATAAACACTTCTGATATCTGCAGACCTCTACAGAGTAACTCCCATCCCTCTCAAGTCTCCCAAAGCCCTCTAGACCAGACTTGTGACCTGACCCCAGACAGCAGCCCGTTCCCCACCCCCACCTGCACAAGGCCAATCCCCAGCGTCTTCATGTTGGCTTCAACCTCTTCAATGTTGCGTTTCACTCCCTCTAGCTGCTGGCAAAGGGCTTCCAGCTCCTGCTCTTGAGCTGCCAATGTGTCCTGGAAGGAACAGGCCAGTCAGGGTGGGGGTGTCAGGCCCAGTAGACAGGCAAGGGCCCAGGACATCACTCACTGTTCCACCCACCTGTTCAGGCCACCGGGAGGTGGCTGGCACATCTGACACCTGGGCTGCCTGGGCCTCGGGCTCCTGGGGGAGGGAGAAGAGAGCATCCTGACTGTCAAGGAAGGCATTGCCCCTCACAGCCCAGCCTCAGCACCCCTGCAAGCACCCTCCCAGCATCATACGCATGCCCACTCAACTGCTGATGACTATCAGACTGTGACTATACGAGAATCAAGGCATTCTCTGCGACCTCAGATTAGAACGTTTGCTCATAAAGAAGCCCCCCTGATCCTGATGGCTCCTGCTCACCTACCCCATCTCTGAAGCCCGAACTGCCCATGAGAAGGATGAGTGCCCCTCTGGGTGACCATCCAAGGAGAGAAGATATGCCCAGAGGAAACTTCCTGGGGAAGCCTGGAGTTTGCATAAAGAAACCCCTCCACCCTTATATGGTTCCCACCCCTCCACCCTTTCTCCATTGAAGTCCCCGAGGAGCCAGTGGAATCCTCTGGGTAATAGCCCCTGGTGGGGAGAGGCCACACCCGGTGGGAACACGGGCACCTGTGTGGATAGTGGTGTGCCTGTACATAAAGCAACTCCCCAAGCCAGACTTGGCCCCATCAGCATGCCCAATGTCCACTCAGGCCCACCCACCAGATGGAAGGTGAACTTCTCCGAATGTGTGAAGCGGGAGCCCTTGGGAGCACTAGTCCTGGTTCCAGCACCCCAGGCCTGCAGCAGCTCTCCCAAGTCTCGGGCTTGTTGGGGGGACGCCAGCCGGCCCCAGGTCTGACGCAGATGCTCAGCCAGATGCTTCTGCAGTCGCTGCCGCTGAGCCCGAGTATCCTCCTGAAAACAGAGAGTGGGGCAAACAAGACAATGTAGATGTCTCCTGTTCACCCAAGGCCCTTCCCCCTCCAGGGAGCCACCTGACAAGGTGCAATTGACGAATCACACTCTCCAGACTCTCCCAAAGAGGGGGCCCTGGACCTGCCCTCCTGGCCCACAGCTCTGAGAGCTCCCCCATTAAGAGGTCTCCTCTTTGCCCTGGCTGGTTTGGCTCAGCGGTTAGAGCGTCGGCCTGCAGTCCGGAGAGACCCGGGTTCGGTTCCCGCTAAGGGCATGTACTTCGGTTGCAGTTTGTCCCCGGCCCTGGTTGGTCGTGCGGGTGGCAGCCACTCGATGTGTCCCTTCACTTCGATGTTTCTCTCTCTCTCTCTCTTCCTCTCTCTCCCTCCCACTCTATCTGTACAAAAAATGGAAAAATATCCT